TACTGTACATATTACAGTAAAATACTGTTCAAATTACAAAAATCGGTTACAGTGTGAAGCACAGTGAGTTATGTGTATGCTACTTCCAGCCTAAACACACATTGCTGATCTGTGTTTTTGTTCAGGTTCAGAACACAAACCAGGGTTCAGGGAATCCCGGAGTGTCTCCAACTTTTGTCAAGGTAATGCAATAATAGCATACTGTATACCTTTATTGACTGGATCAGTATCAGGTTGTGATTTGACATGCTGTGAGCTGTTATTGGTGTGTCTTCAGTGTCTTCATGACGTGAGTACAGTGAAGGGGCAGCTGGTGGTCCTGGAGTGCAGGATCAGAGGAACTCCTCCGCTGCAGATCTCCTGGTTCAGAGAGAACGAGCAGATCATCGACTCGGCAGACTTCCGGATCCTTAGAAAGAGTGAGTGAGAGCTGGACACAACTCAGACTGATTACAGCATTATTTTACACGTTCTCTGTAGTCCATATTACACGTGCGTTATGTACCATGTCTTCTGAACCCATACGATAGCTTTGATCAAAACTGAAGTTGTTTCTTTTGCATTCAGAATTCAAAATAGCAAAAAAACCTGATGTTTGGCATCATTGACATCTATGCGCTATTTTTAACCAGGAAACAGAATGTGCAAAAAAATTTAAAAACAGCATATAGTTGTGGATTTTCAAGACATTTTATTTTAGTGTGAACTTTTCCTTTAAAAACAATAAAATTAACAAGACCATCTTGCTAGTTTCATTACAAACCAATAAACTAAAATTGCTTCTTACTGTATTTTTGTCCTTGTCAGAGGCAAGTTCAGCTTCTGTTCCTGGTGAGTACACATTTATCTCAAAGAAAGGTGCATGAAGGGATTGGAATTATTCTTGTTTTGACAGATAAACAAACATATTTGTCAAATATTAGGCTTTTAACCCTTCTTTGTTTTATTATAGAGGAATTGTGCACCCTCGTGATCACAGAGGCGTATCCAGAAGATTCTGGAATATTTAAATGCACAGCATCAAATCAGTTTGGAACAGTAACATGCAGTGCTATTCTTGAAGTATATACAGGTAAATTTCTTGTTTGATTTTATGCATGCTTAAACGGCACAAACGAATCTAAATCAATTTATGTATATCTTAAGTTATTAATTTTACATTAATTTGATCATAACATAAGGAATAAAATGCACAAAAAATAAAAACATGAAGTTTAATTTGATAATACTTTCCACCTCTAATAATAATGAAATACTCTGTATTGTAATACAGAAAAACAAGGTAGCATATTCCTACAAATGAATTGATCTATATGTATATATTTGATCTAAAGTTTCTGCTGTCACCATTTTGCAAACAAATATCAGAGTAAGGGAAAGAAAAATAATACAATCAATGTTTAATGATATAATTGTGTTATTTCAAGACCTAGAGGAGGTTTTGGGAGCGGAGGATGAGCCTTCCTCTCTAAGCTCAGCTGGACTAGAGCCGGATGACCAGCCCTTGTTACTACAAGACACACTAATTCCTCCTCCAGAATGGCCTGACAGCTCTGAGGAAGAGACTGCTGCCCCTGTAGCACGGTAGGACATTAATCAGCATTTTAGGCATTGCCAAAATGTTAAGTTGTTGAAGTCAACATGCAATCCAAAGATCAGAGTTAAAATCGATTGGATGGAATTCAAAAACAGCACATATAGGAAAGTAGAGTAATGCTACAAATACGTCTGTAAAAAAAAATATATATATATATATGAGGCTGTCCAAGTGCAGATGCTGACTTTGCCTGGTGCCTTGCTGTGAGACAGAAAGAACAGGAAGCCAAGAACGCCAGAATAAAAAAACTAAGCTGCATGTGTGCACAGCCATGCACTTTTAATGTCGAATCCATGCAAAAAAAATAAAATGCTGCACAAAGGGCAATTAGAAGCCAATTAATTGTATTAAAATCAATCTCTGTTGGAATACTTTTATGGTTCCTTACAAAAGAGCTCAATAGGAGAGGCAATGCAAACTTGAAGAATAAAAAAAGTCATCATGTTTTAAAGAAGAGTGGCTTGATCAAGTGGCAGAAACAACAGATTTTGCACAGCACAGTAACAACTGTTTTGTGTTGTTTTGTTTGTGTGTGTGTGTGTGTGTGTGTATTTCATGGATGTTTATGACTATAAACTGTATTTATTAGTATTTAATAGTGCTCTGTTTAAATGTGTTAATTTGCTTAGATCATATTATATTAGCTATATTAACATTTATTAATAAAAGTTCGGAAATTTCAAGTCAAAAGTCAAGTCAAATTTAATTATGGAACAGATGTGCTTGCACACAGTTAAATTATGTTATACGGTGGCACTAAAACACAAAGAACAAACAACTGTTAACAAGGTATAAGGAAAAGGAAATAGGGCCCAATACAGGACCTTGAGGTGTCTCACAGATAATGGGTGTATAGACGAATAGGAGCTGTTCCATATTATAACAGTTCTGCTCTTCTGTCAATACATAGTAAAGAGAGAGAGAGAGAGAGAGAGGGAGAGAGAGAGAGAATGACAGGATAAAAATGATCCAGCAATGTCTGGCTTGTGTTTCAAAGAACCAAGGTAAAGAACCATGTAAACACAACTAATATGTGGGTAGACAGATACCTCTGGTAAACTTGGCAGCCACTGGATGCTGTAGGAGATGAATCTGTACCTTTAGCCAAAATTGTATTACAGTGAACTAGAGTTGAAGTGTCACCGACTGATTTGAGCTCATAAAAGTAAGCTATTTCAGGTTGTTGAATACCTGGCTTCTTTGTCAAGATTCCTGCTTTCTTTTTGTAGTCAATAGCTTCAAGCAGGTTGCAAGCAGGAATATCTATTGCTGTGATATGGTGATCCTTATAAATTACATGCATGTGCCCTCTATTTCCACATTTGACTGGCAACAAGCAAAACTATCATGTGGGTGATTGACAGTTGGAGAGCATGCCATCTTCAGCCCTCACAAGAATAAATCAAGTTAACAGATTTATTGACTTTTACTCAGATGTTCTCATTGTTCTATGTCTATACATTGTCCGTGGGTTGAATGGGTGGGTCCTCAAGAATGGTGGGGGCCTGAGTCTACTGCTCATGACTCGCATAGTTTTCTATAGATAAACAGCCCAACAGTATCTCATTGAGTGAACAGATGCCAGAGAATCGCTCTACACCTTCAACCTTTCAGACCATTTTTACATAGAGTTGATATTACTGGCCAGAAAAAGCATTTCAAAGAGCAGGTAAGCACAAGATTTGTAATCTGTACCATAATCTTTTACACTTTATTGCAATCAGAATGACTTCTTCTTGAAAATCAATACATCTGTTCTAGCAACTCTAGAAATGTTGATCTATTTAATAATTTTATTAATTCACAATCAGTCCTTTCAACTTTTTTGTTCAGTAGGTAAATTAAAATGTGTTCTTTGCTTTATAAAAGTCTGTATTCTGTATGTTTGACCTCTGTAGGTCCTACAGTATGACTTAGCTTTTTCACCCTTCACTCACTGCTGTGTGTTTGTGTTTGTAGAGGATGCACTGTTGGCTTTTAAACTATTTCATATGTTATGTTAATCATCTGGTCCTGGTGTTGTGAAAAAGAAATGTATTTTTCAGTCTGTACAAGCCTCAACATTTAATTTAAACCTGCAAATAATCAAACTTTTATGATTTTTAGGACAGCATGAGAGCTGCTGTCATTAAGCTGAAAGGGACGTGTCAGATATTAAGACATTCTCAAATTCATGTTCATATTCAAGTTATTATGCTAGTAATTTCATTTATTTAAAAATAAATATGTTCATTTTGGGCCCCAACCAGGGTATGGTGCTAACATTATCAACAGTAACCAAAATTAAACACTTTCTGACTGTAGCTGCTGATCTGAATTGCATAACCATTCAAACATTTTGTCCCATTCTTGTTTTATTTCATAAATATTTTGCTCACATATTAATATATTTATATCCTGTTTAAATATAAAATAATATCAATATACACTTGTTTTTATATTGAGCAGTTATTTTACTATCACAAACATTCATTGTTATACATAACTGAACTGTTACTGAGAAGTGAATGACATTTAGCGAGCTTAGGTCTTTATTCACAATGACCTCCAAACAGGGTAACTGAGTGCCAGTGTCGCTGTAAATGAACTGCACCTGCTACGTCTGTCAGTCGTGCCTCATGACACTTTTTTTTAGCCACATGGCTTTCTCACAGAAACACACCAGCACTATACAACGTTATGAACCCCTGCCATGTTCATTAAAGGGTAAAAAAAGATTTTTGCCACGTATAATGTGTTTACAAAGGATAAATGTGTATTTTGTAGTTATTTATGTTTTGGGTTAAGTAATCGTTTCAGGGATTTAAGATGGCTCTCAGTTTGCTTGTGTGTATGGTGCTATACATATGATCAATGGTCATATACATAAGAGGTGCATGTAGACACAATAACATAGTACAAACATACTTTAGTGTCTTTTGAAGTAGAAAGATAAACGTACTAGTGTTCTAATTACTGTGTTATTTAGCCTTGTTCCCTCTCCTTGAGGCATTGAGTTATTGAGAGCAGCCATCAATCAAGCTTACAATAACATTGCTCTGTTTGTTTGAACAGCCTAACCAGCCTGACACAGCAACACTAAATCAACGGCATGAGTTTGGGGCGGGGCTAAGTGTTTGACTGACTGATGGGGGGGTGTTCAGGACACCTGTTTAAATCAGTCATTTAGGTTTGCAGAATTTTTTTTTTTACTTTTAAACAAGGCTCTCAAGCCAACATCTAGGGCCAGATTTTAACAGCTTGCACCAGCGCAAACCCTCTTTTGGCATTAAAAATCTACTGTCAGGATTTACTAAAGGCATGCAGTGGAAAAAATTGTGATGCAAAGACATGGACATTTGTGGCTGACTTTGTTGCATATGCACAGTGTTGGGGAAAGTTACTTTTAAAAGTAATGCATTACAATATTGCGTTACTCCCTAAAAAAGTAACTAATTACGTTACTTAGTTACTTTTTATGGAAAGTAATGCGTTATGTTACTTTTGCGTTACTTTTTAAATCTGGACAGGGCTTGCTTGTTTGTTTTTAAAATAAAAAAGTTATATTTTTGGCAAATATAAAAGCCTTTTCACACCAAAAGTGAAACGAATAAGCATCATCGAAGGGCAGAAGCTAATAGAATGGGATTAAATACATAAAGGATATTTGTGTTGTTTAACATTTAATTATTGCAGGTTTGCGTCATATTCTGAGTTGCATTTTTTTATTCATTTTGAGGAATACTGAATCTGTGTTTTTTTTTTTTATGAGATTAATTAATGCATAGTCATATTTATTTTAGAACTACAGTAACATCTTCTGATTTCTGTCACCATGGCAACACCAGAGCTGTCAATCAATAAATTGGAAAAAAAGTCACTTGCATTACTTATTTGAAAAAGTAACTCAGATATTCTCTTGTAAATTAAAAAGTAATGTGTTACTTTACTAGTTACTTGAAAAAAAGTAATCTGATTACGTAACTCGCGTTACTTGTAATGCGTTACCCCCAACACTGCATATGCATTTGTAAGAATTTCCCTTTCAGACGTATCATTAATGGGAGGAGAGTATTTAAATGAATCAAGCCAAGTGATTTACTAAGACTTGTGCTTGTCAGTTTACTGGTATTTGCACCAGTATTTAACACCAAAAAACATGTCTTAACCCATTTTGAGCTTGATATGGATGTGACAGTTGCCAATTTGCATTGCACTCTTGGTAGATTGTGTTGGTCATAATGGAAATGATTTGTCTGTGTCTGAGTTCATGAATTTGCTCATTGTCAGTTGATCACTGCAGAACTTTCCACTCCCATCAGTGTTTTATGGGATTCTGGCCTCATGATAGATTATCCTGTTTAGTAAATCTGGCCCTTTACTTTTTCTTGGCAAATCTTATTAAATCTTATTAATCTTATAAATCTTATGGCACTTATTGGGGTTATGTGAATTTCTTTGGTTTCGGTTTGTGTTACGGAGGCAAGTTAGTAATAGTTGTGCTGGTAAACCTACCTCACTCCCTTGGCCTACAGTCTTTAGCATCCTTGTTATCACACCCACTTCCCCGCTTGCAGAACTGGTTGCATTTGTGAGTTCAAAACAAATGGAGCATTCTCAGTTCACTTCTGAATGGTACACTGTAAAAAAAAAATTCCATAAAATTTACGGTAAAAAATACGGTAGCAACGTTTTAGGTTTTAAATTTACAGTTAAATACCGTAATTTCATTACCTGATATAATGTTAATATACCAACCTATTGAAGTACTGAAATCTGTTTTGTACCTTTGTAATCATCACATTTGAAATGTAACACAGGGAATTCTGGGAATGTCAATTTACGGTTATTCACTGTAAATTATACGGTCTTTTTTCGCTTTCAAAAACGGTATACTACCGTAAAATTAATGTCCAATATATGTAATGTCCAATACAGTTTTTCACCGTATATAGTAGGGGAATTTACCATTAACCATTTTTACAGTCTTTTTTTACAGTCTTTTACCGTTAAATTCACGGTCATTTTTTACAGTGTACACAACCCTGGTTGCTAGTAGGAGTTCCTACTCTACTGCTGTATTCAACATATGAGGCTGCCGATCAAGGAGGTTAAACTATACTTAACTTTGTCACATTGCCTAAGGCAGGAATGTCCACTCCTGCTTCTGGAGGGCCCCTGTCCTGCAGAGTTTAGCTCCAACCCCAGTTAAACACACCTGAACCAAAGTAATGAAGCTCTTCAGGATTACTAGGATTTTCCAGGCAGGTATGTTGGAACATACTGGAGCTAAACTCTGCAGGACATTGGCTCTCCAGCACCAGGATTGGACGCCCCTGGCCTAAGGTCTTTGTCGCTCATGTCCCTTTTGTTTGAATTCATTCACTTGACTGCAAGCATAATATCCTTTTTTGAAACACCTGTTAGCTTGAGTATAAATATAGTGAAATATGTTTTTCCAACAGGGAGTCTCTTGTGGACACAGAGAGCAAACAGGGTTCTGCCAGTCAGGTGACTGAAGCTGCTGAGCTCTCCTCAATGAGCAAACTTGATCCTCCAGCAAAGGGGGTTAAAAACAGTGTCCCACATCCATTCCTTCCCACCAGCAAGCTGAGTAAACCAGTGGAGCCCAGAGGCAGTGCCATGAACGTGGCTGACCTGCCCACCTTCTCGCCATCGCTGTACCCACCCAGTGCCTTTAATTATGAGCGCCCTCGCCATTTCATCCAGTCCCTGCCCAGTTTCCACACACCCGACACTGAGATCAGCAAACCCAACAGCCTCAGTCCCCCAGCTTCAACTGCTGCACCATTAGTGAGTCCTCCTCAGCCTGGACCCACTCGAACATCAATGTGTTCAAGCATGACTTTGATTCCTAAACCACAGAGCTCTCCAAACAATGAGAAACTATCATCAGCAGCTTTCCTCTCATCTGTCCTGCCTTCACTACCGAGCTCCCAGGCCAAATGCATATCCATACCTCAATCTCCATATCCCCGGTGCTCCCCTAGATCACCCAGCCCAACACCAAAGGCCCAAGAACAGCCTCTGTCTCCTCCACGTCAGTCGCTGAATCATGCTCCTGCAACTGTCCCATGCCCGAAAACATCTGCTCCACCTCTACAGCCCCCACCTGTGTCTCACATGAGCTACACATCCAACACGTGAGTGTGTTATCGCTGAAACGTGTCTTGAACAATGATGTGTATGGTTATATCCTCCTACAGAAAAATTAATTAGATATTTTTACTTAATCTAAAAATAACTAAAATACCAATGTCCCCAGAGCTTAAAAGGGTATAGTTCACCAAAAAAATTTAATTCGTTGAAAATGTCAGGCCATCCAAGATGTAGGCGAATTTGTTTCTTCATCAGATTTGGAGAAATGTAGCATTGCATCACTTGCTCTGCAGTGAATGGGTGCCGTCAGTTTTCAGAATCGTTTGTCTTCTCCAGATGTTAACCGATGGACTGGAGTGCTGTGGATTACTTGTGGATTATTGTGATGTTTTTATCAGCTGTTTGGACTCTCATTCTGACGGCACCCATTCACTGCAGAGCATCCATTGCTGAGACACTGATGCAATGCTACATTTCTACAAACCTGATGAAGAAACACACTTATCCTGATCTTGATAGACCCGAGGGTAATGACATTTTCAGAAAATTATCATTTGTGGGTGAATTACTCCTTTAAAAGACAAACAATTAAGTAATACAATTTTTCCATGGGCTTTTTCATAGCTTGCCAAAGCCAATCTTGAAGAAGACTGTTTCCCGACCAGCGTCTCGTGCCACAGATGAAGAGATTCAGGGCACAAAAGATGCTCTTATCCAGGACCTTGAAAAGAAGCTACGGAACAAAGCTCCCCAACAAAGGAACATTCAGAAGATGTCATATGAGGAGCGGATGGCGAGAAGATTGTTGGGAGCAGATAATGCCGCCTCAGTATTTGATCTTGAAAATGCATTAATTTCACAGCCTGCACAGGTATTGTTATTTTAAATTATTTGACGTTTAATGCAACTGCTGAATATCTTTTCAAAGCTTAATATTAGAGCTCGTTAAGAGGAAATACCATGCAGTGATCATGGTGATCGTGATTTGCGCATGTGCAAAGCTAGAATATCTACACTCTAAAATATGCTGGGTTAAATATAACCCAGTGCTGGGTAAAATAGGGACAAACCCAGCAATTGGGCTGTTTTGCTCCTTTAAAAGACAAACAATTAAGTAATACAATTTTTCCATGGGCTTTTTCATAGCTTGCCAAAGCCAATCTTGAAGAAGACTGTTTCCCGACCAGCGTCTCGTGCCACAGATGAAGAGATTCAGGGCACAAAAGATGCTCTTATCCAGGACCTTGAAAAGAAGCTACGGAACAAAGCTCCCCAACAAAGGAACATTCAGAAGATGTCATATGAGGAGCGGATGGCGAGAAGATTGTTGGGAGCAGATAATGCCGCCTCAGTATTTGATCTTGAAAATGCATTAATTTCACAGCCTGCACAGGTATTGTTATTTTAAATTATTTGACGTTTAATGCAACTGCTGAATATCTTTTCAAAGCTTAATATTAGAGCTCGTTAAGAGGAAATACCATGCAGTGATCATGGTGATCGTGATTTGCGCATGTGCAAAGCTAGAATATCTACACTCTAAAATATGCTGGGTTAAATACAACCCAGTGCTGGGTAAAATAGGGACAAACCCAGCAATTGGGTTGTTTTGACCCAGCGGTTGGGTTACTACCCAGAAGGTTGGGTTAAACATTTAACCCAATTGCTGGGTCAAAACAGCCCAATTGCTGGGTTTGTCCCTATTTTACCCAGCACTGGGTTGTATTTAACCCAGCATTTTTTAGAGTGTATAGAGAATTAATGTTATATAATAGTATATCATACTTCAGCAATGCCACAAGTAAAACTAAAAACACCCTGGTACTCAAGAGTGTCAACTATGCTTTATTCCCATTTGTTACCATCACTCTAGTTGTCTTCAACAGAAATATTCAAAGCCAGACCAAACAGATAAGTCTCTCCTTGGGCCTAAAATAGCATGAGTAAAATCCATGTGCTCTTCAGCTATCCTATTCATCATGATGCTATTATTATAATACCACCACATGTGAATACACCAAGGCCTCAGTTCCTTTAGTTTGTCTATCTATCATGTTTTTTTTTATGTTATTCAAGCAAATGTTATGCACTATTCTAACAGCCAGGCTCTCCAGAAGGTCTCCAGCCTGAAGGAATATGGTAAATGTCATTTTGCAATAGGAGTATCAGTTTGGAGTTTGTCTCTGAAGTGCTTTCATCTTATTATTGTGCATGTACACCTAACACTTCTGACACTTTTTGGAGTTAATAATTGAACACTGGCTGACATTAGTGAATGTGTCAAACACTGAATGATTTTTCTGGCGCAGTCTAAGACAGACACATTGTACTTGTTGTAGCTGATTGTCTAATGCTCTGAGCCCTGCCTGTGTTTACTGTACGACTGCTGTTTGTCTGGATAAGCTTAGCTTTGATTATTGAGTTGGTTTGGTTGAATTCGGTTAATTACCACCTTTTCTTGCGCAGGTCCAGAAAGAATCGTCCCGGAGGGGACAGTGCAGAGGCATCAACCATCCAAGAGAAGTGTTTTGCTCCTCGTTTTATACAAGTGCCGCAAGATCTTACTGTTGAAGAGGGACGATTCTGCAGGATTGATTTTAAGGCAGTTATCATTTATTGATATAAAACATCCTGTATGCATTTGTTTTACCACAACATATTACTCCAATGCTTCTGGCCTTCTTAAGATGAAATATCACACACACAGCAAAGTTAGGAGGAGTCTAACAGAGTCTACAGTTGAACCGTTTTGTTTCTTTTTTTACAGAAATACAATAGTTAAATCTGTACAAACCAACATTTAGCTTTTTTAAAGTTTTGCTTTTCTTTCTTTTTTTTGTGTGCAGGTTGTAGGTTTGCCAACGCCAGATATTTTTTGGTATCTGGATGGGCAACTCATCCGACCTGATGATTACCATAAGATGCTGGTGTGTGAGAAAAGCGTCCACTCCTTCATTATTGAAGTCGTGACCATTCATCATGCAGGTGTATATGAATGTGTAGCGAAGAACCGTGCCGGAGAGAGCCACTTCTCTCTGCGCCTGGATGTGATTGGTGAGCAGCTTTTTGTTGCCTGTATAATGTTGAGAATAAGAAGGTTGCAACATGACAAAATGAGAAAAAAAAATGAAAGGGCATAAATACTTTAGCAAGGCAAGCTGTTTCCTGCCCTTATATTATGATGATATGATGGATGTTTTGATCACTTCGATTATGATTTGTTTTTTCACATGAATAATACAAAATAACCACTGTTTTATCTAATGCAACAAAACTGCATATCTGAAGCTGCCATCATATGCCGCCGCCACTATAACAATATCAACGGAGCTTGACGTTTTTGGAGGCTTTACAAGTTCAAAGCATTTTATTAAAGTCATCTCTGTTCAGGCTACTTTGGAACTGAGAGAGCAATCACATTTAAATGTGTATTTAGATGTAAAAAGACTTGAATTTGTAAATTCCTAATACAGGATATGGTGGGGTTGTTGATAGATTTGAGTGACCGTTGTTGCATTGTACATGGAGTCATGGATTTGGGGATGGTCAACTTTTTAACTAGGGCTAAGACTAGTAATGAGCAGAAACAGTATTTTTATGTATATTGGTTCTCATGATGAGATCATTGTGAAACTGACTTTTGTTGGCTAAAGGGTCACAAGACACATACGTTGAGGACATTAAAATATACCGTATAGGAATGATCCTTATGCACTGTTCTGAGTGACCGTTGTTGCATTGTACATGGAGTCATGGATTTGGGGATGGTCAGCTTTTTAACTAGGGCTTTGAAACAAAATTTTTCATCAAGACTAGTAATGAGCAGAAACAGTATTTTTATGTATATTGGTTCTCATGATGAGATCATTGTGAAACTGACTTTTGTTGGCTAAAGGGTCACAAGACACATACGTTGAGGACATTAAAATATACCGTATAGGAATGATCCTTATGCACTGTTCAAAAAGAAACAAAGTCATATTTTGTGAAAAGTTTTTGTAGACCAAATAGATGTACTTTTCTAACAATATATTGCTTCAGATGATTCATGACCAGGGATGTGAGAGAGCCACTCTGTGCTGAACGTGCATCTATTGCAGGTTTCTAAAAAAGTATTTTAAAGTAATGACATTTGAATTCATTCATACATGAGCTCAAATTGAAATTTCTGAGTATTGACTGATGGCCAAGTGACATTTTTATTCAGGCTAGTAATGTTGTATCTCAGGGGCCTCTGGTTATCTAAAGGCACCTCTGTTCATTATATGACACAATGACTCTGAAATGAATGTAATTCTTCTCCGTATGTCCTCAGCTCAGGAGCAGTTGTGTCCTCCCACATTTGTGGTGAAGATGAGGAATTCTCGGGTTCTTGAGGGTGATGCTGTGCGGTTAGAGTGTAAGGTGGCGGCTTCTCCAACACCTCAGCTCTACTGGAAGAAAGACAAGGAAATGCTTCGAATCGACCCCATGAGAATGAGGTCTGACATAATTTTTTTCACTTTATGTGTGGATGCAAATTTTTTTCAATATAGATGATATATTTAGCTCCCTTTCGAAACGGTCTGTCACGTTGCATGAAACGCTTATGGGGACACTCCTGTTTACACTGAATAATGAAACCTGATTTGTTAACGTTTGTGTAGCTGCACGAAAAAATGGCATTTCAGCCCGCCAAAACGGGCAGAGCCGACTGCCCATATAAGTTGCCGCCGAATGCCATTTCATCAGCATTTTCTCCTTCAGCGCGAAGATCATCTCCTCGCTGGACTCTGAAGAAGATGAAGAATGGAGAAGCCTGTTTATTTGCCATATAAGAGCCCCGGCAGAGTAAAGACTATACTCTTCAGCGCTTATCCTCTGCAGCCATCTAGCAAACTTGAGAGATAATTTCCTAGAGCAAATTTCACACCGTTGCTTCAAATGTCACGCCACGAGCGTGGCTCGTGCAGAGCACCCCTGCACGCTTCAGACAGGCACAGTGAGTGCGTCGCTTGCCTGGGCTGTTCTTACACTGAGGCTGCACTTACTGAGACAGACTGCTCTCACTGCGAGATCATGAGTCTCATCTCTTCACTTACGGATTGCCTTCTTTCATGAGGGCAGCCCCACCCCTACCGCTCTGCCGTTTCTTGCCTCAAAGGGACCTCGAGGAAGAAACAGAGGAGTCAGGGTACTGAGCAGGCGGTCTCGAGTGATCTCACGCCAGCACAGGTCCCAAGTACTTCACTCTTCCCACAGCAATATGACTAACCGGTGCACTTCTCACACTGACTCGTGCCATGAACGAGTCTGGCCCGAGTTCCGATGCCTTTAAAGAGCTGCGTAGTGCAACTGTGATCAGCAAAGCCATGGCCAACTTGGTGGTGCTTGAGTGCCACCTTTGGCTGAATCTCACAGAGATCAAGGACGAGGACAAAGTCACCTTCCTCGACTCCCCAGTCTCCCCCATGGAGTTACTCGCCCCTGCCATTGATGAATTCGCAAGAAGTCGTTGCAGGTCGTTCTCCCCAAGCGCTCCAGCTTGGCAGCTGTTTCAAGTTACCAGAAGGCTCCATCATCCCAACAGCCTGTGAAGCCTGCTCCGTCTCCCGCTCAGCCTCAGCCCAAAACAGAGCCTGAGCTCAGACGGCTAAACGCTTCCCCTTTCCTAAGTACCAGGGCCCCTGCCCCAAAGTGACGTTGGACCCTGAGCCGCAAAAGCCGTCCCGATCTCAAAACAGAGAGGAAGAGGAGAGGGTTAACAAAGAAGTCTCGCACTTGCTCTCCAGTCCCCTGTTCAGCTCTGGGCGATGGAAGCTCTGTCAGTGCTGGGCCCATCCTACCCACTCAGCATGTGCTCAAGCAAATTACCACTGTGATAGCAAACCCACTAACTCAAAAGAGCACTTCTCCGCTACACGACAGCTCAAATGTCAGTCCCCTGCCTTCACACAGTGATCTGACACTCAAAAAACTCAGACCACTTGCTGCCCGGCCAGGTTACTCACTCCAATTCACTTGAAAACCCCTCGTTTCAGAGGTGCTATTCAAACTTTGGTACAGTACAACGATGCACATGTCCTCCGATCCGAAGAACAGAGTCTGCTTGCAAAAGGTGCCGTGAAGTCCGTTCCGCAAGCGAACATCAAGTCAGGCTTTTTACAGCCGCTACTTTCTCGTTTTCAAGAAACATGGTGGGCTCAGGCCCATCCTCAATCTCAGACACCTGAACCGTGCCCTAATGAGACGCCTGTTCAGAATGTTAACTTTGAAACATATCCTCACGCAAGTATGCCCAGAGGACTGGTTTTTATCGATGGATCTGGAAGGTGCTTACATTCATAACCAGATAGCCTCTCATCACAGACCATTCTTGAGATTTGCGTTTGAGGGAGTGGTTTTTCAAAATACAGTACTGCCTTTCGAACGCTCTCTGGCCCTGTGCACTTTTACAAAGTGCGTGGACGTGGTTCTCTCCCCGCTGAGGCAGATGGGAATCCGCATCATGAATTACCTTGACTACTGGCATAGTGTTAGCCAGGTTGGAGTGCAAACTCCTCACTCACAAGTCATTGCTGCTCAGCCACCTGGAGCACCTTGGGCTCAAAATCAGTTTAGCCCAGCGGGTCGCTTTCCAAGGGACAGGAAATGTCATCCGCCTCCTCTGTGATTCCGCTGGGCTTGCTTCATATGCAGCTCCTCCAATTTTGGCTCAAAGCCAGCGTACTGTCCCACGCTTGATGTCTGGGACACCTTTGCCTCAAGGTGAACCACCACTGCATCAGAGCTGTGGTCCCTTGAAAGTCCCCTCACCTGTACCAGGAAGGCGTCCATTTGGGACTGACCTCCAGATGGAAGGTTGTCATGACCGATGTCTTTACAGCTCTCCACGGGGGATAGCTAACACCATTTCGAAGGCTAGAGTCCCGTCTACGAGACTCCTCTAAGCCCTCAAGTGGTCAGTGTTCTCTGACTGGTGTGCAGTCCGGAATGAGGACCCACCCTCATGTGACGTGCCCACGGTCCTCAGGGGCCTTCGAGGTCCTCCATTTGAGCCGCTCGAAGTCGGCTGACTCATGGCCCCTGTCACTTAAGACCGCTCACCCATTGGCTTTAGCATTGGTCAAGCGAGTGAGCAATCTGCAAGCACTTTCAGTCAGCGCTTCTTGCCTTGAGTTTGGGTCTAGCGACTGTAAAGTCATCCTCAAACCAAGACATGGTTATTTGCCTAAGGTGCTCTCCACTCCATTCAGAGAACAGGTTATTACCCTTCTAGCTCTTCTGAACACAGAGGATTTTGTGCTTTTTTAGCATGGCACTATTGAACGCAGTCTGCATTAGTGTTTCACGCAACGTGAGAGCTCGTTTTGAAAGGGAATGCTCTGGTTACTAATGTAACCTCGGTTCCCTGAGCCATGCTATAAAGATACACGATTTGATGACTGTCGCTTATCAGTCAAAAGATTCTGATGGAATGGCATTCAGAGCCGACTTATATAGGCAGTCTGCTCTGAAGGGCTGAAATGCCATTTTTGTTCGTGCAGCTACACGAAAGTAAACAAATCAGGCTTCAGTATTCAGTAAACAGGAGTTACCCCATAGTGTATCACACAATGTTCATTCCCGTTATCTCAGGGAACCAAGGTTATGTTAGTAACTGGAGCGATATTACATATTATTCAAGATATGAAGATAAAATATTTTTGACTTTTTATACACTTAAATGACAAATTTGGTCCATTTTTGTGTTTAAAGACAGTTGCAGAAAGGAATAATTCATACAAAAACAAAGATTCATCGTTTACTTTCCTTTCTTGTCCTGTGGAGCACAAAAGTTTATTTTTTTTAGCTGTTTTACATTATAAAGTTATTTTGTTGAATGTCCTAGATCCTATTACTTATGAAGAAAAACAAGGCACCATAACAAAAGTCCAAGTCCAAGAGGAAAATTCAATCAAAAATGGTTATTTCACAGAAATTTCCTATATGAAATAGTCTGATTTAGACCTTACAGTCTACAAACTTTCAGATACAATTTTTTTTTAGTCGTCCAGAGCACTAAAAATATATTCAGAAAAAATGTATTTAATGAAATAACACAGAAAAAATAAAATAAAATAAAAGCAACAGGGCGAGAATGGTCAGGTAACATGGTCTCTGAAGAACTGAGCTTTAAAAAACACATTCCCATAGATTTTAGTTGCAGAAATGTCCATGGTAATAATACTTTAGATAGATTCTTCCATGAACTTTTTAAAAACTGATTTAACACATTATTGTCTTGGACAGTTGTTTACAGTAAATCTTTTCTTTGCTAGATGAGTTATATTGACGTAGTCGTTGTAGATGTTTGCATGTCCCCGTGCTACTTTAGATAGATTCTTCCATGAACTTTTTAAAAACTGATTTAACATTATTGTCTTGGACAGTTGTTTACAGTAAATCTTTTCTTTGCTAGATGAGTTATATTGACGTAGTCGTTGTAGATGTTTGCATGTCCCCGTGACGTTTGCATGTTTGGTGTGTCAGTCTTTCTCAGGACGATTCAGGAAAGCAGTGTTTGGTCATTGATCCAGTGATAAAGTCTGATGCGGGCTGGTACACTGTATCTGCCATTAATGAAGCAGGCATGTCCACATGCAACTCCAGGCTAGACGTGGGCAGTAAGTGCACTTACTGTTTACTTTGCTTAGTATATGTTTGAAAATTGTTTAGACTTTGCTTATTCTGCTTTTTTTTTTTTCCAAAACTTGTGTTTAGGCATGTTGCATTATAAAATGAACTCCATCTTTATATTGATACATAGTGTAGGAAGGTGCAGTAAATTATTTCTTTTCCCCCATTTTTTACTTTTTTTTTTTTTTTTACACATAGTCCTGTTGTAGTGTACACAAATGAGTTTTAAATGTCTTTAGTTGCTACACAATTATTGAATTATTTTCTGTTAACCCGAATTTGCCACTCTGCCTTGAATAAGAATGCCCGTTTTCTTATAGCTCGACTGAATAAGTCTACCCCTCCAGTCAGGACGCTGAGGAGTCTTCCCATCTTGAGCCAGTTTTCCACATTGAGCACAGAGCCCGTTCCTCATCACACTGCCCCACTATATGAGAGCGAAGAACTGTAGACACTCGTCTGAGTCATGCAGCTTTCATGTCGACATCTGATATTATTATGCAGTATTTATGTAGTATATTTCTCTGTAAATGAGCCAGTTAAGCAGTTTAGCCAGTGCCGCTGATGTTTGCCATTCCAGCAGAATCAACACGCTCTCATGGTTGATTTGGTTGGAAATGGATAACCAGTCTCATGTAAAGCTGCATATTTATGACACCCAGTACAAGAGAAAAAAAATGTATCTTAGTTTGTTAGTTTTGCATAAACTAGACTAATGCTTTGATTGCTGTATGCACTGTGGAAGCTCAATATGTGTGCAGTGTCTTCACTGATACACTCGGAAAATACATAATGATCTTATATGTACTGAAGATGATATTTGTTGGAATTTTTGCTACTAGTACAAAGAATTTGGTCAAATGTATTGATTACAGTCCTGAACACAGATGTCATGTGTTAAATATGATGAACATTTGAGTAAAGATCTTTGTGAAAACAGATTTATCTCTAAGTATTTTTCCCTGTCATGACACACTCTCACATGACAATATCAAATATATCAAAAACCTGCCAAAGAACTAAATCAACCAACAGCATTGGATTAGACTGTGTAGATGGACGTTTAAGTAGTTAGAAAGGCTCTTTTGCAAAAGATTTATTACAGAAACATTCTATAAACAACTTATGAAAAAGCCAAGACAAAAATATTCTGTTAATCATAACCATGTGGATATTAGGCATACAATACAACGCCATCCTTCATCGCATGGTTTCTGAACCTTTTCGGTACTAATGCTGTATTAGTACACAGGACTCGGTGTGACGCTCCCTTTTACAGCTGCGCTTTGATAAACGGAAAATACAGTCGTGACAATAAAACGTTGTACACATGGCACACTACACAGATACAGTGCATGTAAAGAAAGAGAAGATCCACTCACTCATCACAATGCAGTTATAAGTACTATAGATGTGGCAAGGAATGGACAGATCTATGGCTGAAGACCAAAGTCACACAAGAGATGGGACACGAGAGGATCTTCAGATCTCCACATCACTTTCTTTATCATTATCATGGTCACCATCGTAAAAATCATTCACAGCTTCAGGCCTGTGATGAAACAGAAGCAGCTGGTCAGATCAGGATAATCAATATTCAGTCAAGCACTTGACATCTCTTCTCTATCGGTAAAGCACAGTAATGATCAAGTTATTATTAGAGTTATTATAATAACTTGTTATTAGAGGGTCAAGTTATTATTATTATTTTATAATAATTAAAAAGAAAACAAGTTTGTATACCCTGGCAAAAATTGTGAAATTGATTTTGAAAATATGACTGATCATGTAAAAAACTTTTATTTAAGGATAGTGATTATATGAAGCCATTTATTATCACATGTTTGGCTCCTTTTTAAATCAGAATGATAACAGAGATCATCCAAATGACCCTGATCAAAAGTTTACACATCCTTAAATGATTGGATTTGTTACAGACACACAAGGTGACACGCACAGGTTTAAATGGCAATCCAAGTTTAATTTGCCACACCTATGGCTTTTTAAATTGCAATTAGTGTCTGTGTTTAAACAGTCGATGAGTTCGTTAGCTCTCATGTGGATGCACCGAGCAGATACTGAGCAGAAGAGAAGAGTCAAAAGACCTGTGCAACAAGGTAATGGAACTTTATAGAGATGGAAAAGGATATAAAAAGATATCCAAAACCTTGAAGATGCCAGGGAGAAATACAGGCTGCTCTGGAAAAAGACGGCGTGGTTGTTTCAGGGAGCACAATATGACAATACTTGAACAAAAATGAGCTGCATGGTCGAGATGCCACAAAAAAAGCCTGGTTACAACACCTTAACTCACAGCTTCTGGCACATTGTAATCTGGAGTGATGAGACCAAAATAGAGCTTTCTGGTCAACCATAAGTGCTATATTTGGAGAGGGGTCAACAAGGCCTATGGTGGTGGCTCACTCGTGTGAGCTCTAAAGGCTTGGGGAATCTTGTGAAAATTGATGGCAAGATGAATGCAGCATGTTAACAGAAAATACTGGCAGCCAATTTGCATTCTTCTGCTGGAAAGCTGTGCATGGGATGGTCTTGGACTTTCCAGCATGAGAATGACCCTATCCTCCAGTGGTTACAGCAGAAAAAGGCTTCATATGATCGAGCCGCTCTGGGGAGATCTCAAAGACTTTGTATGACCTGGAGGCATTTTGCCAAGCTGAATGGGCAGCTATACCACCTGCAAGAATTTGGGGCCTCATAGACCACTATTACAAAAAGACTAGACGCTGTCATTGATGCTAAAGGGGGCAATACACTGTAATGAGAACTAAGGGTGTGCAGACTTTTGGCCAGGGGTTATTTCATTTTTTCTTTCTTGCTATGTTTTGTTTTATGATTGTGTCATTTTGTTATAACCTACAGCTGAATATGAATCGCATAAGAAATAAAAGAAATGTGTTTTGCCTGCTCGCTCATGTTTTCTTTAAAAATGGTACATATATTATCAATACTCCAAACTTTTGAGCACAACTGTAGAATAGAAATAGAATAGAGTGCAAGTGTAGATGGAAGAGACGTGTCTTTAGCGTTTCTTGAAGATGGCTAAAGACTCCACCAGCAGCGAACAGTTAAGGTAAACGTCTGTGAAAGTCATTTTGTGCCTCTTTGATAATAATAATAATCAACATTGATTCAGCATATTAGAGTGATTTCTGAAGATCATGTGACACTGAAGACTGGAGTAATGATGCTGAAAATTCAGCTGTGCATCACAGAAATAAATTACATTTTACAATATATCCACATAGAAAACACTTATTTTAAAGTGCCCCTATTATGCCATGTCGAATATTGCCTTTCATTCAGTAAATGATCTGTAAATGATCTGCAAAGTTGTAAAGCTGAAAGTGCATGATAAATGAAGTTTAGAATCGACTCTGAACAGCCGAAACAAGTCGTTAGTAATTCAAATCCCACTTCCATGATGGCTACACGTCACTGGGTAACACATTTGCATAATGCCCGCCTCTATTCTGCATTGGCTGGCCACAAACAACTTGACCCCGCCCACAAACACGTCATTTTACTGACGACTGATCTCTAATCTCGTGGAGTTCGCATTAGAACAATCACAACAGACTGGGCCATCTGACCAATCAGAGCAGAGCAGGCTCACGGAAAGGCGGGGTTTAGAGAGACTGAATCTCAGAACTGCTTCGAACGAATCGTTTGAGAATAGTTGGAAAATGAGGTGATAATAAATGCATATTTTGAGAAAACGTACGTGTTGTTTGGAACAATACTAGGAACCTTCAAAATGGCATAATAGGGGTACTTTAACAAATATATTTCACAATATTATGGTTTTGACTATTTTTGATTGAATAAATGCAGCCTTGATGAGAAGAGGAGACTTCATTAAAAACATTTTTTGTTTAAAATCTTATAGAGCCCAAATTTGTAAACACTAGTGTTACAGTCACCTAGAGAAGTTGTCTTCTGATCCTCGCTCATCAGGATCGGCCTCGTCTGGTCGCTCGTAGCTCAGCAAATCAGAGGGAACGTCGTGGATCTGAACACTTGGAGCGTGATTTAACATCTTCAGGCTCTCAAACACTGTTTGACGAATCTGCTCCAAATACTAGAAAAACCAGGTCATGTATTGGTTACAGCTGAGTGATGACGGGGCACTGAACACCTATTTCAACGAATTCAAACCTTAAGAAATATGTGACCCTGGAGCACAAAAGCAGTGTTAAGTCGCTGGGGTATATTTGTAGCAATAGCCAACAATACATTGTATGGGTCAAAATTATCGATTTTTCTTTTATGCCAAAAATCATTAGGATATTAAGTAAAGATCATGTTCCATGAAGATATTTAGTAAATGTCCTACTGTAAATATATCAAAACTTAATTTTTGATTAGTAATATGCATTGCTAAGAACTTCATTTGGACAACTTTAAAGATGATTTTCTCAATATTTAGATTTTTTTGCACCCTCAGATTCCTGATTTTCAAATAGTTGTATCTCGAACAAATATTGTCCTATCATAACAAACCATACATCAATGGAAAGATTATTCATGATGACGTACACACCTCAATTTTGAAAAATTGACACTTATGACTGGTTTTGTGGTCCAGGGTCACATATAATACACTATAATTACTTTCACTTTTTCGTATAAAATCAGAAGTGTTATATTTTGATAATGTTTCAATTTTACACTTTTTAAAACTATAACTTTAAGTTCAAGAGAGCATCTTGTGCTGCATCTGAATCTCAAGCATTTCTAATTGATTTTTCATTACGCAGCACTTCTTGGTTTTACATTTTTCAAGATCCTCAACTTGTCATTTCCAGGTTTTAAAGAGGTTTTGACTGTGTACATGCTGACACAAATGTACTGTCAGATTTGTAGACAAAAAAAACTGTATATTGTGAGGAAAATAACACCCATTTTTCAAGATCCTCAACTTGTTATTTCCAGGTTTTAAAGAGGTTTTCAATGTGTACATGCGGACACAAATGTACTGTCAGATTTGTAGACAAAAAAAACTGTATATTGTGAGGAAAATAACACATACTTGTCTAGAATTTTGGTTTTCTATCCTTGTGCTGACATCTGGGTGAAGTGTGAAGTCTGGAGCAAAATATTCAAAGTATTCTGTGCAGAGGACAAATACAGTGATGAGGAACAGTTTTAAAGCAGTGCATTAGAGGACACTAATTCACACAAGCGCTAGATAACATGTAATAGCAAAACAAAGACATGCAATACTTCTAGCTGTCTTCTCATGTGACACAGTTGCTGTCTTACCACTATATGGCAGCTCATCACTAATGGACTCCTCAACTAGCAAAGATGTTTCATATGTCCTAAAAATCAAATATATGATACATTAATGAACATATCAGAAAGAGTCAAAGATAGAAGTGTAGCACTTACAGCCAAAACAGCTTAGAAACCCAAAGTCTTAACATATATGACCTCCTAAATGAACACGATCAGAGACTCGATAGAGGCGAGATAATGAGGAGGATGTAAGAGAAATCATAGGATAATGAGCAAATCCCAACGTTTGAATAGAACAGTTGTAATGCTACATTGCAGTGCAAACTGGTTTACTGTTTTTAATTAGTGATGCACCAACATTACAGACAAGTTTTTAGATCTACGTGAGAGTAAGTGATTCTCATAAGGTATCAATGACCATATTGTTCCTTGCTGTGGTTGAAAATAACTTATTACAGTAAAGATTTGTCATATCACTGTTTAAACAGGAAGCTGCTAGAAAGTGGCAAGTGATGCAAAGATACAAGTTTAACTGGATCTAATAAAATGTTTTGCCAAAGGCAATGCATTTTCATTTTGGTAATTCAGACTTTGCAAAGAGGCTATCATTATTAAAAATTTTACTGTACATGACAACAAAACCAAAGCCTATGTGTCAGTGACAGAACTGTACTGTTGCTCATTTCACATCAAGACTCTGGTGAAAAAATAACATTGTAATTGGACCTCAGAGAAGCAAACAATGTATGATATGACCCCT